GTGTACATAGAAATGTACATTTGGAGGTGCTCAATCCATACTGAGCAGCTTATCTGGGCACTCAGGCCTCAGGTACAAACAGCAGCAGTGTTTGGTCTCTCTGCTCTGTGGATCAGCACACACAGAAGGCTCTGCACTGTGCCCTTTTTCCACTCAGTGCTCTGGGCACTGAGCGTGGAGCATCCCTGGGCTGCTGCCAGGGCTGCACCTCTGATCCACCTGCACAGCCTGGCAAGGAGGGGAGAGGGAGGGGATCAGATATGGTGTTAGAAATCTCTGATTAGCTGGAGTCCTGCTGCAGATCACCAAAGATTCCAATGTTTTGCCTTTCCTGGCTGTCAGTCTCCCGCAGTACCCTGTGGGAACTGAGAATTTTCAGCACCTCGGCAGATAAACCCTCAAGAGCAAAGCTGTCACCCAGGTCTTTGTCATGCAAACTTGAGGCTGGGTTCAATAACATCCTGTTACTCTTCTGCATTGCGGAAGCCTTGAGAAATTGATTTTCTGTTTTGCYACCGAGTTCAGTGGAACCAGACTTCAGCCCTCCAAGGGAATTGTATTCCTGTAGATTGTAGCCACTTTTGAAATCCTTAATTTCACATCCTTAAATAGTCAAACTTTGCCACAGACCAGCTGTGGGTGCAGGCTTTGCTGGGTATTGTTGACCATTGCTGGGTTATTAACTCTTCTTATGGTCTGGAATACCTTTTTTTTTTTCCTTTCAAAGTGCATTTCACAGACTTAAAGACCTGATCCAAAATGCACAGGAATAAATACAAATCTGTGTATTGATTACTGGAAAAGGATTTTTAAGCGAGTTGATCACTGCTTATAGCAGAAATGTGTTTTTAAAAGAAACAAGAAAATGTATTCTGTTAAGGCAACATTAATCCAGAGAAACCACTTTCTGGAGCAGCCAGAGCTTGTTAACACAGCCAACACCTAAGGCAGCGCTGTGTCTTTAAGCTCTACTAATATTGAACAATAATAATTTTGGTGGAAGAAAATCTTCCCCTCACCCTGAGCAGAAACAAGACATATTATTGACTGCCATCYGGAAAGATGGATGCTGTGGCCCTCGGAGTCTATTAATATTTGATGCTGATGGATGTGAGCTGGCAGCCTGAGTTATTAATGGACTTTGGTTCCTTGGACCTCACCCTCAATCCGTGGGGGAGAATTAACCATAACAAGAACTGGATGCCCAAAGCTCTTGGGGYGCTGGGAAGGGCTGTCAGTTCCAGCACAAATGGGTGCTATTGCAGTACTTACAGGCACAGAAAGTCAYGGGTGGGGCTGCTTAGATCACTGCCCCATTCATTCTGCTTTAAAGGGGACTTTTAGGGTCCCAGGGATTGCAGATCCCCTCCTCTATCATTGCCATGTTGGGGTGCTCCCATCAGTTCTGGWTTCCAAACAAGGAGAGGCTCAGTGATGTTACTTCTGAGCGGGGTGGAGGTGTGGGACACCCTGTCCTTGGTGGCACTGAGGTGGCCTCTCCCAGCTTGGGGGGTCTGTACTGCAGAGCACAGGACAGRAATATGCTGTTCCATGCAGAGCAAGGCATTTCCCACATCTGGACCTGACCCCGCATCCCCTAAAGAGTTTTTCCATTATATTGAAGTCAGATTTGACCCCTGAAATTAGAAATAATCCAGTGGAAGATTTTGGGGAGTTTATTTTGATAATCTGGGCCTTCTGAATGAAAATATTGAAAATTAAGCACTTTTGAAAGTTTGTGATGCCCATGTGGGTCATTCTGACTTGGAACATAGGGATGGAAAATACCAAGTTATTTATAGCTCAACTTCTTAATATAGCTTTAACATTTCCAGGCGTGTATGTTTGATTGAATTAGCTACTCCTTCCTAGCATGGATACCACATCCAGCCATTGCAGTATCCTCATTAACCTCCCGATCTTAATGGCAAAAAAAAGAATAATCAACATAAGGAGCACAGCTGTTGATTAATTTTACTAAATAGGATAGAAATATAAAGTACCATATTGCAAGAGTAAAGATTCAGTACACACAATTGGAAATCAGTTTATTAGAATATGTAACTCATTAACAGCTGGATACATACACTGCAGCATTATCCACTCGGGCAGGTGGCGAGAGGGAGGTGGAATTTACATATCTTTAACAGTACCTGAATGCATTTCATTTCAGAGGTCATTCTCCCAAATCAAGTTCAAAATGTTAATAACAAGGTGTGCATTTATAATTAATAAAATCTTAGAGCCAGTGCTATAGTTCAAGTGCATTTTCCTCTTATGTAATTAAGAAGTTAAGTGTATTTGGCAGTTGTCACTCAGAGAGCTCTGAAGGTCTCGCTTGTCAAGCCCAGGGATAGAAATCTCATTAAACCAGGTTATTTTTTTCAGTTAAGGTTTGTTTGCAAAGTAAGTGGGCAGCCAGAATGCCCAGCCTCTGTCAGCCCATAAAGCCAAGTCCATTAAAGTAAATGCCAAAACTCAAAGGCGTGGAATCAACCTCCTGATGTTCAGCTGGTGAGAATCACAGAATCACAGAAGCTTTCAGGTTGGAAAAGGCCTCTGAGACCACCAAGTCCAGCTGTGTTCACCACTAAATYGTGTCCTCAAGTGCCACAACCACATCTTTTTTTAAGACATCATGRACGGTGKTTCCACYRCTTCCCTGGGCAGCCTGTTCCAATGCTGGAGAGCCCTTCCTGTGAAGAAAGTKTTCCTAATATCCAATCTGAACCTCCYCTGGTGCAACTTGAGGCCATGTCCTCACCTTCTTGTCCTATCCCTTGTTACCTGGGAGAAGAGGCTGATGCCCACCTCACTACAACCCCCTTTCAGGGAGCTCTTTTTTCTTTCATATATCCAAAGAGATCACAGGAAATCAGACAATCCACTCCAGTTGTTCCTGGCCAGGGAGCGCTGACCCCCACCACAGCTGTTCTGTGGTCACACAACATCAGCTGAGACATTGGAAATTCTCCTGCTGCCCCCAACTCTGGCTCAGATGGCGCTTTAGTGGTGTCTGGATGTGGCACGTGGGGATATGGTTTTGGGGTGATCAATGGTTGGGCTGGATGATCTTGAAAGTCTCTCCTAACCTTGATGTTTCTGTGGTTCTGTGGTTGGTTAATGCCATTCCCAAGGGGGTGTTTTAACTACAATCACTCTGTTTCCCTCTCCTTTTCAAAGGAATTTTCCTTTCCTTCTGGATCACTAGTTCAAATCCAGATAAGGTCAGTTGTCATAGAAATTATTAGCAGTACCAGCAGTTCTGTGTAGTACATGAAATGAGTTGGGAGTTTCATTCACACACAATAAGGGTTCCTAAGTGGCACTAATTGGCTGTCTAATTGTCACACGCAGGAGAAAGGCACAGGATTGATTAGGCGTGGAGGCTGAGTGCCCCTCTGCCAGCCCGGGTTCCTGGAGCTCATTCCATAGGCATGCTGGCAGGGTAATGAGGGGCAGCCTGCTTTGGATTTGCTGCCTGTCAAGGCGGCATCTTTTCCTGCCAGGCCTTTTCAGGGCAACTTGTTTTACTCCACCAAGGTCAAAGATAGCATCTTTTACAAACAGTGCCTTCACTCAAAAAAACAGCGACTTGCAGGATTTACTTGTGAACAGTGTATTTTAACCATTTCCTTTCCTTCCCCCTGAAACAAAGTTTTTGGTCTAAAATAGGATGARTCACAGTGGTGCGAGCAGAACTGCTACAGCAAAGCAGATGGGGGTTTRTGGTGCTCAGAAATCTGTTCATATTTCCTTGTGCTGTCTGGGTGTCTGAAGTGTGATATACAGGCTCCTGGAGGTACTTGTCACAGCATAGGGAAGCTGACATGGTGTGCRTTTCTCTCCTGATAAATGGATCCTCCTATCAAACAGTGAAGCCTTTTGCCTGCAAAAATGCATTTTGACCAATATCTTTTCCCCTGAGCTATGGCACGGGTCACACCTTGCGATGGAGTCACTTTTTAACTTGTAGTAGGTTCACTTTCCCTGGCATAGAACTAAATTATTTAAGTTTGACTCACTGAAGTAGTAAATTTAGGAGCTAATTTGCAATGTGCAAGTCAGAATGACACACAGAGGAAATGGAAGCAAAAATACCTTGTATATGCTAATGTGTGTAATTCCAACTGTGGGACTCAGTAAGTTTACTAAGGCTTAAACCTCAATTAGTGAGGTGAAACCACAATTCCTTCAAACCTCATTGTGCTCACATTTTAATTCCCTCGTTGTATCAGATGAACAGTATTAGTAAGAGCTGTGTCTCCTTTCAACCACATGAGCTGATCAGTGCATACAGCGTAGCGGGGTGTAGTGTTGGAATATTCTATATTTCTGTAAAATACAAGAATTTATCCTTCTTTCCCTCCCYTTGCACACACCTAGAGCTGAAATAGGACAGAGACCATGTTTCTGTGTTCTGCTGTGTGCCTCCTGTCTCTGATACACACATCACTCCTGTTCTGCCTTCTTGCTAAAGTCACAATCTCATGCAAATTAATTGAAAACAAATGCAGGTACCAGCTATGCATCAAAAAGCTCTGATGCACCTGCCATGTCGTTTTCCTCTCTGCCAATCTGTGGAAGATGAACATGTATGAGATCCTTTAGCTTTTTACTGACCCTATTCTTAGAATATATTTTYCAAGAAGCGCAGAGCAATCTCTGCACGGTTTCAGACTGTATATTTTGTGATTAGTGTTTCGTAAGTGATGTTTTGCTTAATGATCTAACATCTGTTCTAGGAGGTTTGTTTTTGTAACTTCCCCACCTCCTGCTGAATGAATGCCAGAAACTCGTCCCTTTCCTCCAAGTCAATCAAAGCACTAATTGCATCATAATCATGGGAAGCAGCGGTGGCTGCTCAAGTGCTGAAGGCTCAGCAATCAACTCACAACACTCTGCTCGCTGTTCGAAGAGAGAAAAGCCTCCCTGTGCCGAGCTGGGAATTTCCTGCATGCCAGCTTTCTTTAGCTGACTCTGGCTTTTCTGGGTTGCAGGGAGATGACTGCACCATCCCCTGCATGGCAGGAACCTACGGAACCAACTGCTCGTCGGTTTGTAACTGCAAGAACGATGGCTCCTGTTCCCCYGTGGATGGGCTGTGCTACTGCAAAGAAGGTGAACACAATTCACATTTAACGAGTCCCTGCCATTTGGCATCAATGCCTGTCCTCTTTTAAAGTGGCACAGCTGTGCAGTCAGGAGCTCCACTATTTTCTTGTCCTCCTGAGCATCTCAACAGGGCTGGACTGTGAGTTCAGGCTCTGCCCTGAAGAAAGGCCAGACTTCTCTGCTCTGCTGCAGAAACAGTCACAGGACCAAGTGTGCTGGCAGAGCCACAGCTCCTCTCCAGAGGAAATGCAGAACAATCCCCAGGCTGCTGGGGTTTGATCCCTTTGCTGTTCTGTTTCTCCTGGATTCCACTGGGCACAGGAGTGGAGGCAGCTTCTTGTGTGTCTTTCCCCTCCCAGCCAGCACAGGGTTGCAGTGTGGCTGTCGTTTATTTGGGGAAGCAAGTCTCTCCTGCACCAGAGTCTGACATCTTTTCTCCGCTCACATATTCCATCATTCCTGTTCTTGGTGGTGAGCACAGCCCATGTGTCCAGTAAGCACCTGAGAAATCCTCCACTGCTCCATGGCACAGCATCTCTTCTGTCCCCCCAAAATCCCAATGTGAGCTATGCCTGTRTGACATACATAAGCCCTAAAACAGAAGTGAGGCAAATAACAATAAAATCTGGCATTTCAAACATGAATTAATGGATCACTGTAGAACCCCATTTAATGAGGGTGTATAAACCATGAGTTACTGCTCAACTCCATTAGACAGAGCTGCAGTGTAATGAAAGTCATTGTGCTCCTGGTAGTTAAGATTTGAGCCTTAATGGCTAGAAATGATGGCCTTGGTCTTCTTTTAGGTGTAATAGCTGCTTTATATTAAATAGCATTCTCAAAAAATAAAATAAAATAAAATACGAAGTAAGAAACAGGCAGCATCAAATGAAAAGTTCCTGCAGTCCCATGGGTCAGATCTCCAGCCTGACAGGGACTGTCCCAGCAGTTCCCAAAAAGGCATCAGACACCTTAAACTGGTTACAGCCAACGGGGATACCTCCATCTGTGTATAGAGATGCTGGGAGATGAGTTTGGAAAGTCACAACAAAAGGACCAGTCTTTGACCCCAAGTTAGTCTTAATTTACACCCAGAAACTGGTCCCAGAAATGAAGAGCTGCAGCTTGCCAGCTGCCTTTCTTGCTATATTCATGAAAACATCCCAGATGCGTTTCTGTCCCATTCCCTTAGGGTGGCAAGGAGTGGATTGCTCTATCCCATGTTCAAGTGGAAGCTGGGGTCTGAACTGTAACCAGACGTGTTCCTGCAGCAACGGAGCGTCCTGCAGGCCGGACGACGGCTTCTGCCTCTGCTCCCCAGGATGGCAGGGGGACTTCTGTGACCAGCCTTGTCCTGTGAGTGCAAACAACAATTTAGGGTGATCTTCCAACCCCATTAAATCACAGTCCCCTGCTAAACAGAGAGCAGGGCAGTTTCTCATTTTGTCTGTGATGTCTAAAGGAAATCATGTGTAAATAACAGATTGGGGTTCTAGAAGTCTAGCTGGATGTATTATACTTTKCATTGTATTTTATCAGAGCTATTGCTGCCTTATCTGCATTTTCTTGAAYATCATTTTTTAAAGTGATTCCTCATTTGGTTCTGTATAGAAACGTTAGGCACTGAGTTTCTCTCTTCTCTGTATGTTCATTTAAAAAATGCGACTCAGCATTAAGAGGGACGTGATAGATGATTTTGCACATTTCAGAACAAAAAGCTGATGGCTGAGAGGCTGTTTTTTTTTTCTATTTTTGAAGGATGGAACATATGGCCTTAATTGCAGCGAGCGTTGTGACTGTAACCACGCAGATGGGTGTGACCCTGTCACCGGGTACTGCTGCTGCCTCGCAGGCTGGACAGGTAAAATCAGCAATTACCTTTGGGACCCTTGGGATTTGGCTGATTGGGGGTTTGGGGGTTTGAGTGGATTGTTTTGCTTTGCCTTTGCATCAGTTATAGCCCTGGACTTGTGACTGCAAACTTCTGAATAATAGATTGAGACAAGAKCAGCTGAACTTGCCCATATTGAAATCACTCGTGATGGTGACAATAATTGGCATTCATTAAATTTGTATTCAGATGAGTTGAGGATGGCTCCAAACCTGCAGCCAGATGTTAGCCTTCTGGAAGAGCATCCTCAGGAGGGATGCAGATCAGCTGGAAATCCTGCAGAGTTTTTCTCCTTRAACTGTCCTTTCCTCAGGGGTGCAGCTGTAGGACGGTGGATCCCGGGCCCATCATACCTGGGATGCAGACAGGGCATTTCTCAGGAGTCATTACAGCTGCTCCATCACACAAAACACAGATTTTTCTCATTTTCCAAAGCTTCTTGGCACAGGCTGGTTGCAGAGAACAGATTAATGCTGGTTTGACAGAGCTCTCATGATTACACAGGAACAAAGGAATATTCAGTGAAGTTGGAGAGTCCAGGCTGGAGTTCTCAGTACAATTAGACCTGCACTTGACTCCACACTGATGTTCTCTTTGCCAGCTTTTGACAGCAGGAAGGGGCAAGTTATTGACCTAACCATTTCACACTTTGCTGCCTAAAGTGCTGGTTAATCTCTCTCTGCTCTCTGTCGAGGCCCTGGGTGAAAATAAAGTTCTATTCCATATACTRCAGAACCACCAGTGGCACTGACAGTCAAAATGCACTTATATTAACAGCAAGTCATTTGGAAAATTTAATTGTTTTTCAAACAAGTTGGAAGGATGCATGGGGCAAGGCAGGCTGATCAGGCAGCCAAYATTTCAGATACTGTCACCTTTCCCATTGATTTATGCCTTAAACCAACATATGTCTTCTGTTTCTAACGAAGAKGACATCCCACAGCAGCCCAGATCCCAGGAGCATGAAGCAAAAGCAATGAAATTATGCCTAGGGCATATGATGGAAATAATCTTGAAAGAATTAAATAAAATGTAAAAATTATAAGTTCTACACATTGTGTACAACAGAGCTACTTTTCAAAGACACTGGGTATATATCCCTGAAAAGGACATTTTTCCCCCAAGAAAATCCATTTTATAAGCTCACTTGTATTCTCTCCTTCATTCTGCCTCCTCATTGGCTAGGCTGCATTTATCTTTCTCTGAGCCTCTTTGCCATCAATATATCCATCTATCAGCCTTTAAAACTCTCCTGTGCATTATTGATGATCAGCAGACAAACAGCTGGTGGGTTTTCCTGTAGTCACTGTGAGTTCCTCCAAGGGAAAAAAAATGGCTTTTAAAAGTACAGTAATTTGAAGAGAGATATTTATATACACCTACTCTAAAAGTTTATTGCACATCTTGTGGATGAAGCATTCCAGAGGAAACTGCAGGGAATGACCTTTGCAGGCAATGCAGATTGAAGGTGTGGTTTTTTCTCAAAGGCATCTGTAACAAAGACTTACTCCCATGAACATCTGTAAATGGGAGATCATCAAATGCAGATACTAATTAATTAAAGGTAAGAATAATTTCTGATGTCCTTCTTTTCATTTCMATATTGGGCAAGATAAATGTATATTAACTTGCAGGGGACTTTATCCTACAGTGTGCTCCTGCAGCTCTGGAATTCCTCTCTTCAGGATCATATTTCAGAGAGGAAAATRCTATAATCATATTCGAGACCAGGTTGGAGTTGAGATGTTGACAGGCCCCTGTAAGGTGGAAATGTTGATAGACAGAACAACATGTGTTTTGTCWATTCTGTTCCAATGTTTTTTTCCACTTGGCTTGGCACCAGACACAAGGATAAATTCTGCTCATACCACTTTGAAAGTATGTAATTTAAGAAACTCTTCAGCTAGATAATTATATTTTCATATTAAGGAGTGTGGCATCAGTGAAAGATTAATCTTATCTGCAGTTGTTGTGAACTGGGCCATGATGTGTATTGCGGTGCGTTTTATAAATATGAGGTGATAAATAATTCAGGCTGAAATTTTTGCTTTCTGATTTTGGTACTAATTAGGCATGGCCTGAAAAAGATCAGAAAAGTTCAGGATCATGGAACTTTTGAAGGYTTTCCTGCCCACTCACACCAAACAGAGAATTCACGTGGCTTTCTGATCCTAATAGCCACAAAACTTCATCTGAAACAGCATATTCTGTATGTTCATCCCAGACATGGGGCTCCCTCTTGATGTCCATGTTTTATGTAAAGATCAAGAGGAAGATTGAACCCATTTTCTTTAAAGTGGTTTCAAGATGTTACTGATATAAACCTTGAGGGACTGATAGATGGTAAGAGCATGGAGGAGGACTGGGAGAAGCAGGAAAAAAGGCACGTCAAGAGTGGCACACAATTGGAGTTAATAGCACTCTGCCATCCTTTYGTTATGTCATGACTGCCACCCATCAAGACTATTATCCAGGACAGTGACCYTCCGTGGATTCCAGCTGGGGGAAGGCAATTTTCGGGGGCTGAGTGTACCTGGCAGATGGGAAGATGATGAAGAGATCCCCTCGTCTGAAGCAGGAGATCACAAAGCTGCACAGAGCAGCTGGATGCATAAATAAGCACACGGGCACCAAGCTGCTCCGAGACGTGCGTGTTCCCTTCCCATCGGGCTCCATGGGGAATTGCACATGTGCAGCCCAAGGCAGAAGCTGGAGCAGATCTGGGGATGATGGTACCTGTTTTTACCGCTGTAATTTCTGGGGATGATGGTACCTGGTTTTACTGCTGTAATTTCTGGGGATGATGGTACCTGGTTTTACCTCTGTAATTACCCAGCCAGGTGCTCGGGCACGTGGCATCACCAGCGTTTTGCAGACAGCACTGCAAGCACAGAAGCCCAAAACCACGTTGGCAAAATGCTCTCACGTGGTGCAAACAAAGTGAAATGTGTTGAAATGTTGGTTAGAATCAGATCTGTGACCTGCTGACACCACGCAGGGCTGAATTCCCCTCACAGGAAGGAAATGGGGGATGCAGTGACACTGAGGGCTCAGCCTTGCACCAGGTTGCACGTGTAACCTCAGGTATACAAACAGTAAATCCAAAAAAGAGGTGTTCATATCTAGTGCTGGGTTAAAAAGGAAAAGTCCAGCTCCCAGAGGATCAAGCCTTGACTGCTCAGACTGTTTTCTAAGGATTAATAAGGATCTCTTTCTCCTCATTTGCCGTACATTTTAGGTACAGACACCTCTGTGTTGCAGCTCTGTGTGTGTACACAGGTCCCTCAGAGCTCCCAACACACCAGGCACTTGTGAAAGAGGTGTGATTTTATGTACGCTCAGGTTGAAATGAAAATGCTCAGTGCTAATTACATTTGGTTAATGAGGGATCCTGCACGCACTGAACTCGCAGGGGGAATGGAAACAGAAATGCTGCGTGGTGGAGCAGCTCCTGGAAGTCCTTTGCACACAAACAGCTCCTGGAGAAGCAGGATGAGTCTCATCTTTCCCAGGTGCCATCTCCTCTCCTGGATGCTCAGTGACAATGACAGTCATACATTTCAATTAGGCTGCYCTTATTTAATGAGTGACCTGGATCTGGCCAGGAGAGGAGCAGCTGCCCTGGTGGCCTTGCTGAGTGAGCAGGATGACAATGTTCCTGTGCCACATGCGGTGCTGCAGCTCTGGGGGTGACAGCTCCAGCCAAGCCCTGTGGGGATGAGGATGAACTGCAAACCCCCTCAGCTTGGTCCCTCCTGGCAGCAGGTTTTGGACCAGAAATGGCTTCCTCACATATTCCAGCTGCTTAAAGCTGCAGAGCCTTTAGCTGCTTCCTCAGTGATCCCTCAATAATGAAATCAGTGATAGCTGCTGGTCTGTCCTCTAATTTCGGAGGTGCTTGACCAGAGCCAGGTTAGACTCCCTGTGAAGCCAGACCCAGCCATTGCCCATCCTGCCCCCAAGACCCGAGTCCATCCSTTTTCCCAGGCAGATATCCCATTCCCAGATGGATCCCAGAGCACGACTGCTCCTCACAGCAAGTCCTGCTCCTCCCTCCCTGTGACAGCCAGCCACTCCAGGTTAATTGTGGCAGTGAGTGTTCGGTTCTGCTCTTGCACTGGGTTAAATGGGAAGTGATCTGCAGGGGGATGTATTCCATTGCTCTAAATGCTAAGGTCAGTTAGAATTCTGTTCATCTGAATTCCTTTAATCTGAAATGCTGTCTTATCTGCATCTTGTCGTGCCTCTTTTTTTTTGCGTGGTGCTCTGGTTTTGCAGAGCTGCTGTGGTGATGGTATCTCAGCTCCCCACTGAGCTGAGGTACCCAAAGSCTTCTCTCAGTACCCAAAGCCAAAGTTTATTCCCTATATTTTAACATCCCAAAGATGTGTGGGAAAAAATAGACCRGTGCTGTAGATGTGAGATGGAAAACATAAAAGTGTGCATCCCATAGTTAATTATAAAAGAAGCCCTTATAGATTTTCCTTAATTAATCAGGATGGCAAACACAGGTATGCAAATGATGCATGCTGCTGAGGAACAAACACCTTGTTATTGCCTCGGTGCTTTACACCTCCAGGCTTTGCTGCTGCCTCAGAAGAGCAGCCTCCCCCTTCRCTGTTCCACACAGGAAATCAAAATACAATTTCACTGTCCTCTACAGCCTCAATAACTTTCTCACGTTGCCAGCAACACAAGCGCTGATTGTCTCTGATCGAGTCCAGAGCTCCAGCGCAGGGGCTGTGGGATCTGGAGCTGTAGGATCGCCATGTGTGGGGTTGGAGGGAGGGATGGGGTCAGGAGGTGTCGCTGGGCACAGACCAGGGCAGCTCCAAGGGACGAGGCTGCGGGGCTGGCAGCATTTGCAGGCTGGCACTGACATCTGCACTGTCACTCAAACACAGAAACATGTTTCTTCCCTCCTGTGGACACATTAATTCAGGAAAACTGATAAGCCTGTTACTCAAGGG